GATGTACTTTACTTTAGTACTTAATAAAATAATGTTTTTCTGAAGCTTAGATATCCAACTCATATTAGAACCTCTTAAGGTGAATATAAAATCTATTTTTTTTCTACAACTATCCAAATTATAATCCAAATTTACAGTAGTAAATCCTTGCAAATTCTTACTATTCTTTTTGAAACAAAGTGCCAAATTTGAAGTGCCTTTAAAGAATTGCAGTAGCAATTTTAGAGCTTTTCAATGCATCTTTTTAGGATTTTTTATGTATCTATTTATAACTCCTATTACATGTATAATATTAGGTATTTTATAAATCATAATATACATTAGGCTCTCAATTGCCAAAATATATGAAACTTTTTCCATCTACTTTTGATCTTTATTTTTCTATAATAATTTCTTGTTGATAAGTTTAAAGTAAGTTCCCAAAAGAATGCTTCTAGGCTTTGTATCATGAAGATTAAATCTAATTAATATCTTTTTTATATATATCTTTTTAAAAATAATTCTAAAATTCCTTTTAATCTATTTTTTATAATTTTTATTCTAAATATTTACTTTAAAGGTTCCAAATACTTCATATCAAATTCCTTTGACAATTACAGCTTTAACTTGTTGATCTTTTTCATCTTAGAACCCAAAAAAAATATGTCAATAATATACAAAACTAAAATAATAGAATAATCATTAAATCACTTAACATAACAATAATGATCTATTTTGTGAAGCGATTATCATATTTAAATCCATTATATCTTTTATACTACTATTTTAAAGTTTATTTCAAATTACACAAACTATTATCCAATTTTCACACCAAATCCCCTTTATGTAGAATTTAAAAGCCTTCTAGTTAAAGCATGTAGATGTCTTCATTAATATTGCTATATAGGTGTCAAAGAAAAGAACTCAAAAATATAAATAAAAAATTAAGATATTTTTTTTTATAGAAAAATGACAAAATTATTTCTAGAAAACATCTATATTCAAGAAAAAACTAGAATGACCATTACCAAAGACTAAGAAACTACAAACTCTTGAAACTACACAAGAAGCAAGAAAGAAGTTGATAAGAGTGAAAAAGACCTCATGCTTGTCTCTATATATACTATCAAACTATGAGCTATGTAGCAACGTTCTATAGAACAAAAATTATTTTTCTTTGTATCTTATATTTCTATTATTCTTTCATTATAAGTTGTCTTTTTTGCCAAAGTTTGGTAATTTTGATATTATGCTTTTTATCAAGATAATATCTACATCTAATTATAAGGTTTTATTGTAATTTATAATTTATTTTTATTAACTTTCAATATTTTTTTGCAATAAGATTTATAATTCAAAAAAAAGATTCTTGATCATTTCTAGGATCTATAGTAATACAAAAGACAAGATATAGATTATTAGATTTTTTTTTATTAAAATTAATAAAATTGTGCTTCCAATTGTTTTAAATTTTTTACTAATTGTTATTCCGTTTTTACTAAGAAAATTTTAAAAACATACCTTTATAAGATTTTAAGCTTTTTTGAGTAATAAATTAAGAAAATCAAAATCCCAAGTTTATTTGTACATTGTACAAATCTCATTGAAATTTTTGTAACAATTAAGTGATAGTAATTTCTTAACTATCTAAGAATTATTGATTTTAATATTAAAATATTTCTTTTAAAGTACATAATATATTTTTAACATATAGCCTATTTTGGCTCATAAGTGTTAAAAAATATTATTTTAAAATTAAAAAAATTGGATTATATCTTAGATATATATATATATATATATATATATATATATTTTCTTGAGATTTTCATCATTTACTTTTAAAACACAATTAAAGATATCTAATGAAAAGACCTTTAAAGCTTCTTAAGAATATAGAAGGTAGGATTTTTCTTAGTATTTTATTAAAGGAGTCTAAATTCAAGATATCTTTATATAATGCAAATACATTCAAATTATCTATATTAATAAATTCTTGTATTAGTATAAATGTATGGTATGCCTATGTCTTTATTATTAAAGTGTCGACTTTCAATATCAATGTATTTCAATGTGACCACCACATCTAATATTATTTTGTAGTAGAATGGTTCTTAGAGATTCTACAGGTGATTGTTAATATCTTACTTACTACAGTGCTTAGCAGCTCTAATATATCCAAAAGTCTAATGTTGTTAAGTATTTGCCTCCAAGAACTTAATGCAACTAAGTTTTTATACATTCAAAGTCTAACATTACTAATGGTATTAGCAACCAACTACAAATTAGTTACAAAAATCTAAATAAAGCCATAGCATAATAGAATTATTATAAGTAGAGATTAAAAAATCTTAAGTTATTATAGTTGTAGGTGTCTAGGCTTTATTGCTCTACATCAATTTCTTTATAAATAAGAAATTTAAGTTAAAGATTGTATGTTTTTAATAAAAATATTTTTCAAAAGAAATACATAGGTACAAAGTTACTATAAAAGAAAAATATTAAAAATGGTAAATAGAAAAAATATTTTAAATTTTATTATATTATTATATTAATTTTTAATTTTTAATTTTAATTATTAGAATATTCTTATAAAGATAAATAATTGAAAATTTTAATTGTGCTATAATAGTTGATTAGAAGTGGTGTCAAGGACATGAATCGCGAAGAAAGGGAATCTTCAATACACTCTTCTATCACTGAAGAGAACTAAAAAGTCACTCAAAAGGTGATGTAATATTAATTAGAATGGCTATTGCCAAAAACAAGAAGACTAGAAAGTCTTGAAACAAGACTAAGACTAAAAAAGTGTTGACAAGAGTGAAGAAGGCTTCACTCTTGCCTCCATATATACTATCTAAGAGCCACGTGGTGATGTCCTATAGGACCTCCAACATATGTTGACTTTGCTAGCCACATGTTTTATCTTGCAAGGCAAGTTATCTATGTATGCGCCACGTAGTTGGCTTGTTCCACAAGCTACTACACGGAGGTAACTTGTTCCACAAGCTACCAATACATGGTTAGCTTTTTGGCCAAGTTTTTAACCTACAAACACATCTAAAGTCAAAACTGTGTCTATGAAGCTTCTAAGAAGCTTCTCTAAAAGACTTTATGAAATTATTCTATTTTACCTACTTCTACTTAATCATTTAAGTAACTATTGAGATAAATATATATGTCTGTGACAAGTGGTAGGAGTAAATTTTTTTTTAAAAAAACCTTGTTAATGATGATGATTCTTTTATATTGGAGTTAAATACTATTATTAAGTTAGACTTATCATAATGTAATATATGTCATGTATTGCTTGAAAAAAGCCTAAAAATTAATTTAGAATTTTTTTAGATTTCATGTATATAAGTCTAGACAATCTAATGGATTTTAAAAAAAGAAAATCTCATCATCATCTACATTTTCATTTGTGCAATTGGTTGATTTTATGCCGTAGATGGTAAGAAGCTTGAAATTATTATATGAGAAAAAAATGATTAAAATTGCTTAAAATTTATTATCAAATTCTTAATTATATTTATGTAAGTGTGGCTAATTTAGAGAGCTTTAAAATTTCTAAACATAGAAAGATGACTAACTTAATTTAACACAAATTTATTAGAAATAATGAGGTTTAGACTTTTGAACAATTCACTACAAGGTTACAATTTATTTGCACACTATTTGTTAGCAGTTTTGAGAATGCTAGTAATAATAGGTTCAAAAAAAACGAATCAAGCAGAGTGCCCTCATCTACCAATTTATAAAAAAATTAGTAGAAAAAATCAAAAGAGATTAAAGGAAAAATACAAAAATATACTAATCTTGGTTGCATAGGTTTTCCTGGACCATTTTCAACATCAAATCATCAAAGATGCTGATTCTCTGTGTCTGTTAAAAAAAAGTGCAACATCTTAAGTTGCAATAAAAATCTGTCTTTTAAATGACATTTGTGGACACGTTCAAGTTTCACCTTGTGTGCTTTTACATAGTAGTGCAGCAATAGACTTTATCATATCTTTAAGAAGTGAGAAGACATAAGGGCAGATGCATTATGATGTGTCCTTGTCAAGATTAACATTCAATCATTGAGCATATGACATACTTCATAAAATGTGTTGGACCATTTTTATGTTTATGATCTTGTAGTCAGAATCAAACAGATCCTACCCCTGCTTGGTGAGGTAAACGTTGGTTTCTGATGGGATGGAATGATTACATTTACAAGGCAGTTGTGTTTGAAGCATAATACTAGTTCAAAGCGCACTTAACATGTTGAGATGGAGTAGAATGGAAATGAAACAAATAGTGTGCAAGTAATTCTTAACCTTGTAGTCAGCTACGTGGATGACACACTTTAGATATCAATGTGGTAGGCTCTCAACAAATTTCGTAACCAAGTTTTGTTATGATCAACTCTCATAGATCTGGATACGCTGGCGGAAATGGACTATGTGTCACTGTGCGATGAGAAATGTTAAGTGGAGTTAAAACATAGGGAAGATTCAGTGATATCTTCATTGCAACTTTCATTAGCATATACATATAAAAAGTGTGTTGATTCACGTGTAACATGAATTGATATGTTGCCGAAAGTCAAAAATCATCACTTCATCCAAAGATGGAGACATGAACAGGAAGCAAATGTTTTAGGGCTGATGGTCTTCCTCTGTCTACAAATGTTGGGAACCCGCCATTGTTACTTAGTCCATAGACAGTTGACCGGGAGATACAACTGCCTGTAAGTCAAGAATGATTGCCACATTTTGTAGCTTGAGGTGTGGACCAGTGATGAAGCTCAGACACAGCATTTCGCGTACAGAAGCATCTCGATAATGTGTTAACAATATGAGGCCTCCTTGCTTTCGGCAAAACATATATGGAAATGGCAGTTCATAGTTGCTGAGAGCCAACATGACACGATTGCTTGCAAACACAATTCGTTAAAGGAATCCTAAGGTCAGACACGATGATGCTACATGAACTTCTCCCTCACCCACTTTCATGCACATGAATTATCACAACTTCAATGACTCGAGAGCAGAAAAATGGGGTTGCATTATACAACTCTCCTGAACAGAGCGTTGGTGCCATTATTGTTTCACCTCTCGCTACAATTTATCTATTTACAATTTATAGTACAGATAACAGAACATAGTAGCCTTAGGCTGCAGTTCAGTTCTTCAAACCTTCAGCTCCTAGGGTTGCTGCAAGATCATCATCAGAGGGCTTCAATGAAGGACCCATGCAAGACCGAGCTACTGACTCAAATAGCTTCTCTATTTCAGGGGCGCAGCGCGTGAAACTATGGCTCCAGAAATTGTATCGAGGGTTCTGCAAAGCCAGCACTAGGCATGAATAACCTTAGCAAGTATATATCAAAGGGAAACGCTTGTTGCAGATAAAGAACGAAAACAATGACACAGAATCTAGTCCTTTTCTCACAACTAAGATAGCACCTTTGAGAGCGCAATGGGATTAGATAGAAGTAGATTACCTTGATAAGTTCTATGAAGGTGATCAGCAGACCCCAAGGATGTGGTCTATTCACAATGAGCCTTTCAAGCAACACCCTGGTGATTTGCTCTTGAATAATTTCCTACATACATATGTAAAGGACTTCGGTCAAGAACAAATGTAAAAATAAAAGCAGAAGATCTGTTTCAGCTCTAGCTTCTTGAACAGATCTTCCTGAATAGGAGTCAAAATGACATTAATAGTAGAGCTGTATATTTTACAACTGCTAATTAAAATCAGGCATTTGAACAGAAATCAGAAACAAATTGGCTAAACTTCCACCAAAGCTTACAAAAACGACTAGTTGTAACTGTCCCAATAGTTTCCTCGGAATAAGACATACCATATTAGCCTCTGCAAAGAGATAAAGTAAAACGCATGAAAAATAATGCGTATGATTGTTAGGGTAGCGAAGTTGGTTAGCGACAGCATTAAGGAAAAGGTATCGTCCTTCAGTATCCAAATCAATAATGAGGCGCTGAAAAATATCCATGGGTGCACTTTGGGTTATAGGTGCAGTTGGAATTGCCAATTGTTGAGGTGTAATTTTGGTCTGCATCTGCTGTATTGCCTGCACACAAGTAAATAACGACGAAACTACTCAATAATCGTCAATCAATAGTCCAGTGCAAGTCAACATCTTGTTCATGCTCATCCAATTAAGAAACAAAATACATGGCGTGACTTGAAAGAGCATTCTGAAACCCAACTTAATAAAACGTGGGCGTGTATCTAAGTAATCTTAACATTTCAGAAGACACAAGAGACACTAAAAGACGATAAAGTATAAGGATTCTACCTGCATGCCAATGTACAGCACCAGGGCATTCAGAAGAGGCACATTATATTTTGTACCATAAGGAACAACCTCACTTGCAGGTAATATCAATTGCCCCTTAATATCTAGAGACTGGAAAGATTGAGAATTTCTTGTCTGCTCATACAACGACTACATCGTCAGTAAAGCGCAAAGATACCGCTTATTTTAAAAATCCAACCAGGGAGAAACTATTACATTGATACTTTACAGGTTTGAAGAGGACATAGCATAGAAAAAGCCCTAATTAAGTCAATAAATACACACAAACATATTTGAAGTATGAAAACAAGCTTGAAAACACGTTAAGGAATCAAAGTATGAACCTTGAGATATTCATCCACTTCTGCCTTCAATTGTTTGCTCTTTAAAGCAGGCTCAACGTCATAGAGAATGTGCGGAGCCTGACTAATTTCTGGAAGCAAGTCCACCTGATTAAACACCACGCCTTAGATAGCTGACTTTTGTGCCTTCCAATTTACATATAACAGCCACAAAGGAAATATTTACTTTTTAAAAATGAACAAAATTGATAGGCTATCTGCAAAGTTTGAAGGTTGAAAATATGAATATGCTACCTTCAAATTAGGTGTAAAAGGATCAGGAAGTCGCATGTTGCGTGGAAAAGCGCTAAGAATTAGATTGCGCATCTGAATACAGGATGGGGGAATCACATCACAGAAGGTGAAGTGATTGTCGCACAAGAATTCTGGAAAGTCATGCAGTAACACAAGTAATACCCGAAGTGTGCCCTTGTATAATAGCCTTATCTGCAAACGGGAAAGAAAGAACATGAAGCCATTAAATTGGGCTAGCCAATCCTTGTCAAACACTCATTAATTCTGCACCGAACTGTAAAAACTTAACCAAAAATTCGTTTCAAGAATTTTTATTTGTGCAATGTTTTCCTACTTTCCTGAGAAATCAATCTGAAAAATTTAGTACGACTTTACTTAAAACTTGCTCAAAACTTGCCATCGTTTCTTTCAAAGAAAAAGAATGATTCTGCTCCACGCAGGCAATTGAACTTGTCCCAAAGTTAGAAACTCACGGGATCACTGACATCAGCATTGCGTAAGTACGGCTCCATAAACTTGAAAAGAGCCACCAACAAACGCTGAAAAAGAGGCCACCCCTTCGGGGAGTTGCTTAATAACAAATTCGGCATGAACATTCGGTGACTTATGAGCTCCAGCCATGCAAAGCTGCAATCAACTCCACCCAATAACATTTAGCATGGCAAAGGCAGCTGGAGGTGAAAAGCTGAAATGTAAAACTTTTAAATTCTGAAGGAGAAGAATAGTCAACACCTGTACCCTATACAAGTGTCCCAACTAGAAATTTAAGATGAAATTAAGTAGAACACAAAAAACATAACATATCAAAAAGTCCTCACATTGGGGATTTAAACCAAGTCAATATTAAATGAAAATAAGCAAAAGAACGAAAGGATAAGCAACTTCACACCTCCAACCGGGTACTTGGAGGGGTTGAAGGGCCAGAAGAGCGGTTCCAAATATAGTGAGAACCTAAACATCACAGCATACTAGAAATTAATTCAATTCTACAATCGCCCTGCACTGTTAAAAAAACAGAACGTTCGCATTCAAATTATGCAGTACCAAACAAAATCACTAGTATAAATCCACTTAAGATCCTCCTCAACATATGAAGCAGCACTGACTGGAGTTGATAGACTTAATAGAAAGTTGCCACAAGGATGCATGCAGACATATCTTCATGTGCTTGATTACTAAGTGACAGACTCTCATCTTAGCACAGACCTGGAAATTGCTTGAGTCAAGAATAGGGTCCGCAGCGTTTAAGTCCTGGAGCCATGTAACAAACAGCCGAAAATATGGCCGAGGTTGAAAGTTTGCCCTCCTCTCATGGAAGTCTCTTTGAATCACACGCACCGTGACAACCATGACCTTAAAATGGCAAAAGAAAAACTATAAATTTACACAACGACCATGAAAGAATAGCTATTGAAGCAATCAAACAAGTTTCCAGTGAGTGAGTAGAAGAGTTTTTCCTTGTTGAGAAAAAAACTGTGCGATATATAATTTTCAATTCCTCTCCCCCAATTAGAAGCTTTTGTTCAATTTGCCCTAAAGCCTGGTATGCTGTCTTAGTACTTCATACCTTGTTCAGAAGGTTGACCTTACTCATAGATGGATCCACATAGTACTGCACACGCGCATCATCACGTTAAAGATAATAGACCTCATGTTCTAGTTTTATTAACCAAGTTCACTGGGTTCTAACATTTAAATCTATTAAAACATTTCCATGAAACCTGCACACATCCAAAGAAAGTCAACACAACTCTTCAGTTACGAAGATTAAATCCAAGGTACCTTGACGAGTAACAAGACGAGCTTAGCAAACATGTCAATAGCCGCAAACGAAAGATTTGATTCTTGCTGGCTTGAGTCGAAGAGTCCTGAGTTGGGTAGCACTGTCTCCGAGTTTAAACAGTGAGCCACAGCAAGTTCCTGCAAAAGGCTCCAAAACATACCAGGCTTATGAGGGACATCTCATCAATAATTGTTGAAGTTTGAAAACCTAATCCATACAACTAAAACAAAAGAAAATCCATTTCTAACTTGAATATAAGTGATATTATTAGTAATACGGAGCAGAAGGACAAAGCATGCAGATCACAACCAACTTTATTGACACCTGTTGAAATCAAATTTATTGACATTTGAAAATAATTTAGAACTCAAGATTTGAGACGATGAACAACACATGATCTTCAAAATATCTTTTAGAAACTTGAGTTTCCCTAAACCAAGGTAGCAAAACAAACAAATCGCTCACAATTAATATACGGAAAAATCTGTCAGAGATATCATCTCCTTTGAGCATTCCAGAATGTTGAAGGTGTGACACGTAGACAGCATATGCCTTGTCACTTGTTCCTGGAGCGTCACAAATGCTCGCCCATTCATCAAACAAGCTGGCCACCTGATAATTGATGTACAGAAACAAGCAAAACTGGCAGTCATCGACCTGGGTGCTTAAAATAAAGAGCTTTTGCAATTGTACATGAATATTATGCAGCAAATTCGAAAGCTTAGATGATAGATTATTACTGACAAGAATACTTACTTGATCTCGAAGTCCAGCAGGATCTCCAGCAGCTATGTCTCGAGTTCCAACATTTCCATCCTCTCTAAGACCGGAAGTTCGACCCGAGGGAACCTGCACAACAAAGACAAAATGAATAGCCTTCACTCCATTATCTGGATTATTGCTTTGCAAAATGTACAATACAAATCTATGCATGACGAGAAAATATAAACAGCAGATCATAACAGTAAACATACGCCTACGAATCTAGAAGTACGAGTATTCCATGTGATAGACGAACAAATTGTACCTTTCTGTCTTTAGCAAGCCTGATCTTATCCTCCTTATTGAAACCAGTGCCTCCTGGTCTACCACTGCTAGAGGTAGTCCGAGCAACATCAACCAACTGCTGTAAAGATACTGGAGAATCTGGCCGAGCTGCTAGCTGCATGATTCAAACCACCAAGCTGTCATCCGTACGTTCAAACTATTCTGCAGTAATTAAAGAAAAAACATTTTAGCAAAAGATAGTATTGACGGAACAAACTTCTGGTGCCAGAGACTGCACTATGAACTAACCTTGCCCAAGGCATCAATAACATTATAAAATTCGGTGTTGCTTACACCAGAGTCTTCAATTACACAAGTCTTGACTAAATAAGCAGCAAAATCCACTGCATCTTCTGCATTGATGATAAAATATTAAGAGAGGTCAAAAGTACAGTCTTCTGAATGGAACCCACTTGACGACACTAGTCTCCAAATGTAATATGTTTACACGAATTGATGTAATGAACTTCATGAAACTTAAGGAAATTCCTATACAAATTTTAAAATGACTCACTGTTGCGGCCACCGTCCATCAACTTGGTAAGTTGAACATTGTAGTCTGATAGATTGATAAGCTCAGATCGAATTAAACCAACAGTTATTTCTCTATTATATCGCCTTTCTTCATCCGAATATATAACCTGAATAGGCACCAAAAGCCCAAGGATGTGTTCACAAAATCCATCAGCTGAACCAGCTGAAAAAACTGAAAGTGCAACAGAAACTGTAATAAAACTAAGGTCCTTATTCCTAGTAATAATACCAATGTGGTGCCTACAAAATACTACACATTAGCCAACATACACCCACTACCATTACTAAGCCATGAGGAAAGTAAATCTAAAAAAAATGAAGATTAAAGTTCCAGAAAATGTAACCAGATGTGGAATCAACACAACAAGAACAAGAAAACGAGGAAAAAGACATAGACTTACCCAACTAGTCAGTTCCTTCCCAACACGTTTGCAGACATCTCGAATTGCTTCAAGAATTGTTAAATGCACTAAAACGTGCAAATGACTGGTAGAATGTTCATATAAGCGTTGAAAAATCTGCTTAAGAAGCACCAATGACATACTTATGACCATATTATCAGCGACAAATGAATCATTCAGAAGCAACAGTGGAATTGCCAGTCTACTCCCTGCTACAACTTCAACACAAAATATAACCAAAATTTGCAAAACCAAACTTTTTAAGAAAATGAAAATGCAAAAACCACCTTTTGAGCGATGACCAAAGCTGCCTCATCTCTACTGATACCCTGGGTGATGATTTCTTGTAATTCATTCACAATAACCTGTTCAAAAGATCAAATCAGTGCGAGTTCAGTAGAGCAAGCGGGGCGTTAAAGATACACCATGATTTGCTTGTGATAAAAAAATTACATTAATAGCGTCAATAAACTAATAGCATATACATAATTGATAAATTCATAATAACTTCAAAAGCAGAGTCAACAAACAATTGAAACATACCCAGACTTCATGCTCAGGAGGTAGGGCTCCATAGCTCATGGTAGTCATTTTCGACAGTGCAGTTTCAAGCTGAAAATTTGGAAATACGAAACATTACTCACATACTTACACCACAACACTCAATTCACACGTGAGTATAAATAGAAACATTAACAAAACTTGTTCGCTCAAACTTGACATAGATTTATATAGCCAAACTGCATATAGTTATTACTGAAAGTAAGTACACACCTTCTGGGCAACCAGATGATACTTCTCCATCACTTCCCCAGTGGTCAGAGAGTTCTCGATCACCGTTGGTCCCAACTGCTCTGTAGGTAAAGGTGGTTGAGGAGAAAAGTTTGCTGTATGCGTTGAGCCCTACAGCCGAAACATTAATCGTTTAGAATCAAGCTGTTTTAACTTCTCAATGGACTGGAATTTCAAAAGAAGTTGGAACGGATATCGAATTGGCTGTACTGAATGTCTATGTTTATGAATTCACAGTGGATCTCTAGTAGTGAAAAAACGTGAATTAAGATCATTGGATACATCACTGAGCGGGAGATTAAATTTAGCTTGTGAATCATTCATAGATACCTTGAACACCGCAGGATCATTTCCACCATTTATGTCGAGGGATGATGCAGTATTGACGGAGAATTGCGGCGACACCAAGTTGGTCTCACGGTTTTGCAGAGTTGATCTATCTGCTTTGCTGACTGATCCAGGTGACGGGAAGCTTTTTTATTTGAGGCCCAAGCACAAAAATAGGATGGAAGAACCATATTAGTTCAGTAATTAAGATCCAGATCAAGTATGAATTTTGAACTAAGATGCAAAATAAAATCTAAACAATCAAAATTATCCATACGTACAGAAAATCAATAAAAATTTAACTCACATTAAGCAAGAGATATACATTTGACTTGCAGCTTAACTATACAAGTATATTCACTTGAAACCATATGAGCATTGAGTTGTATGACCTTCGTTGAGTCAGCTTAAATACATATCGGAAAATGCTGCAAATGAAATGAAGGATATATCCAACCTCAAAGGTATCTGACCGCGAAGTTCGAGATCATCAGCTCCTGACTCGGAGGCTTGGTGTAATCCACCATTTACAATTGCTGCCTGACAATGACCATGATTATGAGTAGATCCATTCGCCTGACCACTCGCGTTGGGTGCATATGTGGGAACGCTGGATCCCAATGGATGTCCGGCCAGAGTAGGTACAGATTGGCTAGGTTGGTTTTGCCAAGGCAGACGTGCAAAATCCTGAGCACGGAAAAGAACCAATTGTAAGCCTCTTGCAAAAAGATGTAAGTTGCGGAGTTGATGATATGCTGCTTTTGAACACCATTTAAGTGTGTGAAATACACAGGCAATCGAAAAAGTTGTCAGAAATGCTGAAACAAGGGATATCGCACAGATCGCTTCCCGAAAAAGATTCCTGACAAGGCTTGACGAACTCTAAGCATACCTGGTTAAGCGCAGAGAAGCCTGATACATGAATGCCCAATGCCAGCATAAAAACAACTTAACTATGAACCTGAGTTTCCCTATAACCTTCTAGTTGTGTTCACCAGCTTACTCGACACTCATTGACGTCATTACTCAAATGAGAGACTGTTCAACACATTTTCTAGTATATTCAGATCAGACGAGACCACTAACAGATAACGCAGCAACATATATAACTCCGCAGTATAGAAAGCTCATCACCACATACCTCATACACACGTTGTTGTGCACTTGACAGCTTTCCTCGTTTTGGTCGGAGAATCTCTGGCAATGGGGACAAGATTGGACCCGAGTAGAAAGCGGCATCATAATAAGCTGCATTACTACCATCTCTCTTGTTCCTTCGAACAGTAAGTGCTGGTCCGATTGCACCTGCTAGATCCCTCTGAGCCTGATAATTTGGATGGGGTAATTAGCATCAATGTTAGGCTCCTGTTAACGTCAGCGAATGTATATCGAGAATAGCATGATGTTTTTACATGTCCAACCAAAGTGAAATTACTATATTATCACATCGCTATGATCAGCAGATAAAAATCGAATCTCAACCTGATGGAACAATCGCCCCAAACTACGAGGAATCGAGAAAACAATCTCTAAGAAGATCTTTTACCTTCTCTGTTGCAGATTTTTCAATGACTGCACATCCTAGATCAAGATTATCATTAGTCACCAAGTTCACAGCCTGCTCCAGTACATCTCCCGAGAGATTCACCACTTGCAACAAACTTCGAAGGTGGTTTGCCATTGCAGCACGTAAAGGTTCCTAGTAAAACCACCAAAAAATACGTTCCTCTGATATAAAAATCAATAGATACCAAATGCAACTGTGACGGTTCAATTTAACATGACACAAAGGTAAAACCAAAACACAAGTTCTAATCACACTTTGAACTTGATCATAGTTCCTCTCTTGTGGTAGTCGCAAATTGTCAGTACACATGAGAAGTTGGTTAATATCAACCTTGCAAGTTACATGAGCCAAGCTACCCGCCAAACTAGCCACCATAAGCCCAGCTGAACTTCGCGTGTGATTCTCATCAGCTTCCATTGCGAAATCCTGCAATTGAGTAGCCACAACTACGATTGTTTATGTTTCAGATCTTAATACAACCACCACATGAAACAAACCGCTGCTATGAGACATTCTCAGATCATCGCAATGTATCCAATCCCTTCACGCAACTCTATAAAAAGAATGTTGTGGGTAACAGATTAGGGGATACAAACCTTTAAAACAAGCTCCCTGGTAGTCATGCAAGCAATAGTCACACTGCGTTCTACTACCGGTGTAATAGTCTCACGAATGGCCCGGTCCATGGCGAGGGGAACAATTCTGCCAACCAGGCATTCACAATAATCAAATCAATCACAGATTTTAATCATTGGAACATGAGAACTCCTTCCAGCATACAAAAAAGTCTAGAGTCGTTTACAAATTATTTCTTTAAGATAACAATACTAGACTTCCAGACACAAACTAAGACAAACTTTCCTTAAGGAGTTCCTCGTGCATGTAAAAAATGCAGTCAAAAATGAAAATATTGCTCTACCAAACTCAGAATCTATTTACAATAGCATCAGTGTTTTCAAAATCGACATTCAACACGAAGAATGGCCGCGTTTCTCGGTGATCAATTCAATGAAGCCAGGTGGTCAAAGTATTTACCTTTGGAGCTGAAGCGTCTGCACTAAACCAATTAACTTGGGATTGAGCACCACATAAGCAGATAGATTTGGTATTGACATCCCCACCTGCCAAGTCAACACAGTCCAAGTGACAAAACAAGTCTTGAACTGCGTGAAGCACGGGCAAAAGACCCAGTTGTAAAATTAATGAACTTTAAGCAAGTTTGTTTCTATTTCAAGTAGCGCAACTGACCTGGCCTGCAGAGATAGCTGATTGCGTTTGAGTAATTTGGGACTGCCCTTGGGCACTTTGCGGTATCTCAACTACGCTAAGATTCATGTTCTCTTCATCAATCAACTGACATCACAATCGAAGCACGAGACTTGATAATGAATACATAATGACAACCACCCCATAGCATAAGTAGGTAAGGAGGATTAACGACCCCAAATTAAAATAAACTACACACCAGCTCGAAGAGCATTAAAGCAATGCATTATCATACCAGACATCGATGCTCTCAAACAAACTCGACCAAAAATTACCTGAGATGTTTTTGTTGTAAGTGGCAAACATGGAATTGAAGCAGCTTGGTCAGTAGGTAATTCCGAGGGTTGAAGGGGAGCTGCAGCCGGCACACGAACAGCTCCTGCAGGTGCAAGGGATTGATAGTTCGTCGAATCCTTATTTGAGAAGTCCGGATTATTTTCAAGATCTCTTTCCCGACCTACCAATAATTGTGCTGGTTTCACATCCTTCATGTCCACATTGAGAGTCTTGAACAACACCTGAATACAATTCCCTCATGATAAGTGACAAGTCATTCAAGAAACAAGAAAGCACGGTCAAAACAACATTGTAATGAAATAAAATTTACTAAAAACATGATAATAGCTCCAATAGTTCAACATGGATTTAAATTAAAGAATTTCACCTCGATATCAAATTTCAGATTCATCTTCAAGTTTGGCATCACATAAATCTCACAAAGCAATCCTAAAATTGCCATGGTCCATGGATTTGGTGGCTGGTATACTAGACTGGCCTGACATGGCTCTAGAACCTGCACATGAGACCGTCTTAAACGTAAGCGCAATTCATAACAAGAAATGGATCACTTTTCAGATTTAATAAGAAACTCAAAGCTAAATTTCGAATACAGAATCTATGAAGCATCTATTGGACACATGACATATAATGTGAAGACTTGTTTGAGGTTAAGTAATTTTGTCAACTACCAGACACAGCATCGTCACTCATATTAATGGCTATTTTACTGAGCCATGATAAGTACATTACGCTTGTCTGACATGGAATATAACTACACAAAAAGAAGACCTGCAAACTTCAGTATTAACGTGATGTCAGATGAACAAATTTTCACATTTGATAAGGAGGGTACCTTGGATGTGAAAGGAATAATTGCAATCATCAGTCCTTTCTCATATGCCTGCATTACAATCGAATTTACAGGTAGTTCATTTCTTAAAACAAAAAAAGAAAAGAAAATATATATATATATATACGGTTCACAATCTTAACGAGAAGTATAACCAAGAAACACAATAAAGAGACGAATTGCCAGTTATGGTACATTCTGATTGCAAATGTGAGGAATAGATGCTAACCTCAATAATAAGTGATTTTGGATCCACTTCCCGTGCTCGCAAAGGCTGATTTTTGCCAATAGTCAACTTGCCCAACCAACTCCCCAAGTTCTTTAGAAGTGAACGCTCCTCAGAACTCACTTTGATCAACTCTGAGCGGAGCAAGACCTATACGAAATACCAACGCAAACAGTAGAAACGGAATGACAGTATTTAGCAAATATCAAATCTAAATGCCGAAAACTAAATCATCAAAAGTAAGATGCGAAAATTTGATAACCTAGTGATAAAAAGCAGAACCTTGCAGTTCTCGTAAGATGCCTTCAAAACCTCTTTCTGCAATCCCTTTGAGTTCAATTTATCCAGAAACTTGATGTAGAGGTCATGGAAATTGGGTTCTATGCTTGCTCTGTGGAAATTGCAAGTTAATAATAAATAATAAAATAAAATTTAACAACAATGAGCATATGCAACATTTATAGGGAGGAGCTCAAAAATCAAAGAGCAAAATGAAGAAATGGAATATTATATAAGCATAAAGCACAAAACACATGACAAAAAAGCTTTAGCAATCGAATCACTACATAAGAAGCAACACAGTATATTCATCACCTTTTCATCACCACATATTGAGCAAACCAAGGATGATAACTATCCTTCAAAACTTCTAGGCACTCTTTGGCCTTCTGATCCAGGTTGGTAATTGAAATATTGTTCATGATGAAAGCAATTTTATCTTGAACCTCAGATGATGGCGTCTGCAAGGACACTAAGATGAGGCCCATGCAGCTTGCTAAAAATACAAGAACTTTGCACAAAAATGGAAAAGCTTTGGGACTGCGGTAAAGCTGCAAACACCAAACAAAATGCTTGAAAAAGCACACCTCAATGGGGGAATTTCGAGTTTCAGCCGCAGCAACCAGAGTACCAATATTTAGAGCATGACCAAACCCAGTTGATGCAGAAGGCTGGCGCAAAACTCCTGAAAGAGAAGCCATTGCATGAAAGAAGCACAATTAAATGCCGTCTTCAGTCCAAATCAGACAAGCTAAATCAAAACGTAGGCCAAGGCCCCCAACATAAACCTGGGCGATGCTCTGTCCTCCGGATGATATATAACTACAAACAAAGACAATGAATACTGGTGCAAAATAACAACGTCAAGCACAAGCTTGGTTAGCTTTGACTTAACATACACCTAGGGTAGGTATACACGAAATTGGGTAAGAATGGAGTCCAGAAGCGTACCTGTTCCAGCGCCAGCTTTAGAACGAAGATGTTGTGGTGACTGCCCATTCGATAAAGCTGAATAAGTCGAACCCTGAGAGGCCAACTGAGACGTTGATACAAAAAAAGAAATCCAGTCCATTAGGAAATATTATCAATTGTGACCAACACAGCGTAGGTATCCCAGTAAGGACCTCAAATGCCTCGTCCAAATCGCAGATATCTAAAGAACAATCGAAGACAGCTTAAATATCAAATTCTTGAACAGATCCACAGCATTCAGGCCTTCAACATCAACCACGTCTGAAAAGAATTGGAAATGAATTATGAAATAAAGCATGACGAAATTGCCCATAAACCTCACACGGAGACCCCGAAGCATCAACACAATTGTGAACTACCTTCTGTCCAGTACCAAGCTCAGAGGTTCGATTCCCCAGTGTTTGCTGCATGCTGATCCCAGACTCAGAGCTCGACGAATATGCAATCTTCACCCTTTCGTCGAGCAAGCTCGATGACAGTCTGAAGTGCTGCGACACAAGTGATCCTGATTCTGTATTCTGCAGTTTGACCTGACCGGTTTGTACCGCCGGAGAAGGAATAGATAGGACTAAGGATCCGTCCAGAGCAACATTTAATCCCCGATCCAGAACCTTCCGACACAACCACGTTCAATAAGTGAACAGGTCACTAAGAACAACAGAACTTATCAGGATTTCATGAACACATATAGCACACAAGCACTCACAATCTATCCTTCCTGTTTGCACATTCCCTTACATGTCACATAACGCGACGAAAACAGAACTTCATTTTAGACCTACAACTCACCTCGTCATCTGTTGTTCGAAGTAGAGGATTCACACATTTTCTCTCCTCCATGGAAATAAGAGGAGCTGGAAATTGTTCCAAACCCTCCAGCAGTATCAGAGAGGATTTTGTATCACATTGGGCTGCACCACTAAATTGCTGGTCCGTATGAAACATGCCATTGCCAGCAATCTCATGCTGATTTGCTTCCCCTCGCATTAAGGCTCGCTGAATGAACTTCACAAGTTCAGGTTGAGACTGACGAAACTGTGGAATTTGAAGAACATGGTTGCAGTATTGCGGCCACTCTGCCAAACGCTCTTTGAACTCCCCCAGAGCGACTGTCCCAAAAGAAAGCATCTGCAACAACCAATAGTTGCATGTGCAAGCATTGTAAATTCTCAAATCATCGTTATTACGGTGGCATCTCCAGAGCAACTTCATACGCATCTTTCATACAAAAGAATGTCAAACTTTGAGACAGAAACTAGGCTAACATGTAGAAAACATGTCAACCAAAATAGCTCATTCAAGGACAACCAGACACAAGACCGACGCAGGCTGTCAAGTATGCTGAATTGACTCACGGAACTGAGCGGCATAGCAGCAAGTATCAATTGTGAAAAACCTCACCTTGGAGTCCAAAGGCTTTCGCAAGGCATCCAAGACACACCGCAGTGCTTGACCCAAGATGACGGACGAAACCAGCTGATGTTTGACAAGTGAACCTGTTGCCCCCAACGAAAGAGAGAAAAGCTCAGGAAGCCTAACTTTTCATACATACTTCTCCGTGACGTCGAAGATACCCTAGTAAATGTTGACTAAGCGTAATCATAGTTGCAAAGTATGAATGAATATTGTAACTTGTTTCTAATAAAATATCTCCCAAACAATATCTAAGAATACAATGTAACCAGCAACAGTGTGATGAAGCACCAAGTTTTCAGTACCAAAAAGAACTGCAGTAATTCTTAATTCTCGTTCAGGATATCTTGGAAAGAACTGATACTCTTCAAACAAACTTTGGACCATGCAAGCCGATATTGCCTTCTCCCTCCTACAAGAATTCCAAAAGTATATATGAACCTCCATAAGACGATTATGTTCATGATAATCACCACCATCTTGTCAAACGTAATGATAGCGGTCCTCAGACATAATCTATATTGAACACTGAAAGCAATACACTTGCAGGGCCTAGTTATTGCAAATTCTTCACACCCCAACTCACATTTAGAAGCTGCAATGTACAGTCCAGTGCTAATTGAGTATGATTTGGACAAGAAGACATCGAATTTGATTCGGACTAGTATACATACGAAGTAGAGGAAGGCAAGTTGAATCGCTTGAGCATATCCACAACGTCATCGATGGTAATTTGTCCAATATAAATCCTCTGAAAGTAAGAGTTCGCCTCCTCATCAACGTATTCACTCCCTGCTTCTATCTGTGGCTGATCTGAAGTAGCCACACTCATTAATCGCGGATTTGCACGTGTGGCAGCTTCTTTGACGAGCTCAAAGTCCTCAACTAGCTCACCAGAATAAAGCTGGCTTGTGTTGGTATGAAGAACCTGAAACCAGAATAACAGAGTTCTTTAACTTGAACCTCAGAAACATAGAGGCCTAAAGACTCTTGAAATAGAATTCGATAACGTATTGAGCTGCATATTAAACGTCAGATGAAGAACTCCTCAACCAAAAAAGATTAAATCGATTCCTCAATTTCATACGAAATGATGGAAGGAAAAAGCACCGCAGGATCTACCTTGAAAAACGTCTGTGTCGTGTCCAAAGCTAGACTAACAACTGGTCCTTGTCGTTGGCTGGCCATTCCACCTGCACAAATCTGTCTATCCATTTGTGCCTCCAAAAGCGTTCTCTCCTTCAAAAACTTCACACAAGCCTGCAATTTCTCAAATGTTAAGATTAGCTCTCCTACAAAAAGTGAATGATTGTGTTCATCAGAACGACAAACCTGATAGCAGCGGCTGTAAACCCAGAGAAATGACAATCACGGACGAGAATCTTTTTTTCTTTTCTTTTTTTTAAAATCTGACCATGGAACAATGTGCAAAGCCTGCAAAAACATATTAGTGATTACATAAATACACACATCTGTTACCTGGAAGAAAGAATCACGATGGATAGTGAGATTATCTTGCAACCACTTCTCCAGGTTCAAGAAATCTCTTCTTGAAGCAATAGCTGCAAGCTCTATGGAAAATGGAAATGGAGTGCATTCAAGCACTCTATCCAAGACCTGCGATTCATAATGAGTTCTCTTGTCATTACTAAGTGTGACGAGTGCCAAACCCACATTCTCAACCCACAAGTGACCCCAATGATGTACAAAAGAAGATAATGGACAATGAACAGGAAGCATAAGCTATTGCTGGTGAAAACTAAACACCACAGATCGTGGATGAAAAAAAGAAGATAGTATCCATGATTGTTACCTTCAGCTCGTGACAAACATCTAATATTCTTGGGATGCTACTAGGATCAGCAGCATGTATCTCGACCATTGTTCTCATTACCAAGTCTGCGTTGAGCAACCATAACTCCTGTACTACACTGCTGGTGGCATTGGTCGCCAAATAAGATGGAAGTAGCAAAGGAAGCATTTCAGCCTGAATTATGTTCCACTCTGTCTGCATATCCACACATGAAGAATATGAGTTGCTTATTTTTGTACCCAAAAATCTACCGTTTCATACGTCGCAAGTAGCGGTAGGAGGAAGGCAGCTTTGGTATTTCAAAACTGAACAGTTAGCTGATTTCAAAAATGATAATAATATTAAAGGGTTTTTTAGATAAAAAATAAGTTTGTTTAAGAATTGAAACTTGAAAGAATAGAAGACATTTAATAGAATTCGGTCTCTAAAATTTTCAAAGCTGGTTTTTTCAGCTTGATTAAAATAGAACATGTCTTTCCCCTGATCAGTCACTTCAGCATCCCATGACCATAGAAGAAAAACATCCTTAATATCGGAAAGTCGAAGCAGTTGAAAGGAAAGGAAATACAATACCTTAACTTGTGCTAAACCAAAAATCAAAAGTTCTGAACATTGCTGAAGAGGTATCTCAAGCAGACTACGCACAGAGCTAAGATGTCCCAACTCTGCTAGGCCACACAGGATTTCTAGCAAGTCAAGAGACAGCCAAGCATAATTCGGCGTTGCAGCAGATTGTCGGTGGACCTGTGCATTTGCATCACAAAAAAATTGAAGGCACAACCATTCTTTCGTTGGTATGATATAGTGACTAATAAGCTGCAAACATACGGTTAACCCTACCAAATCCTTAGTTAAAAGTTTCCAGCACACTTAAGTCTGACAAAACAATTCCTAGCTTCAAAACCAAGCTCTCTTCAGACACGCTACTCTAGCATACGCTGGATGTCAACATGCAACCATCGCATTCAAGACAAAAAGAGGTCTTAAAATAAGGGCTTGTTGTAACAGCTATCTATAATGCTTTGACGTATGCTTTCCTACAGAAAGAAGGGAATTCCAGGAAAATAGCACTTTACGAGACCAGGATAAGTTAGAGAGCAACTCATCCAAGAAAGTAAAATTACCTGCTTTCTTAAACTATGAGCAAATGTGAACAATTCAGGAGGAGCTGAAACTGCATGCTTCAAGAAGGAAAGTTGGCCTTCTCCATTTTGCCATACATGTCCACATACTGCTTCTAGTGGAAATGGGTCCTGCTCATGATCAAAAAAAAATGGCAATGAACTCCACAGTATAGAATTTAAATACAAATGACTAAATGATAAGACCAGAGTCACATAATCAAAGGAACGGCATTGAACAGAACATAAGTTTCATATGAAAACTTACAACCGACAAGACTTTTGACCCAAAACTTGTTGTTCAAAAAACCTCCATAGACCAGATAGCATTATAATGTCACATTTCTCATTCGTCTCAAACATCTCCAAATTACTCGGTAAATGAACGGCACACCTGACAAGCTTTCCCATACATTCTCAACAAGAGAGAAAACGCTTTTTGATCGGGTAATAGAAAACCTTCATGATCCAGTTTCTCAATCACCACTTCCCAGCTAAGACCTGGGGCCTGTTAGACAATGAAAGTCAGATGCAAAATGAAGACGCTGTCATGAAGAACAAGTAAATACAAAGGGTACAAAGGACACTCACAACGTAAACATGTCTCAACGACGTTACCGTTGCCATGGACGCAATCACAAGGCACGATTCTAAAGATAGCTTAAGAATTATTTGAGATTCAAGTAGTTATAGTACAATCAAAGACTTGCGTTGTTAAGTTGCCATTCAAGAACGTTACATTAGATAGATTCTCCAACAAAACATTCAAAATGCTTCACAATCGCACCTATTATGAGATACCCAACGTTCGATTGTATCAACCACATAAATAACAAGGAGAGGACAATTAGACATAAGGGAGATAAAAATTCAAACAAATAAGGATCCTTAACAATGAAAATAGATATACCAGCTGCTTTATGGAGTCCACAAGCACGTCCACGTCCCAAGTGGTCAACCAGTCTGAAGAAACCTGTTCATCATTGCAAAGCGCCGTGCAAAACGTGCTGTGGGTGCCTTGCAGATCTTCTGACCTACGATGGGTTCGGGCAACCATTCCAAGAATGCGGGCGACCTCAATTTCTGTGAGAGTGGGAAACAAGCCAAGAACTCCTCTACAATGATCAATATCTACAGTGCAGCTGTAACCCAACTCTTCCATAACATCGGCAACGCTTGTTGCAGTGGACAATAAGGAGCACATTTCTAGGGCCGTGTCTGCCCCAGTCGATCCAACTCTGCTAAAACTCCTGCAACCAATGTGGTGGATACGATATTTAGAACCAATCACAGTGTAGGATTGAACTGTATTGACAATAAATACATCAATATGATTTATTACTGAGTTTCTACCTAACATATATGATTAGTGCCGAATCAAATGCTCCGAAAAATGTGCGCTGCGGCAAACCTCTGACTGCACCATTTGATCCAACTCTCTGACATTTGATTCTTAGGTTATACATATTTTTGCAAAAGTTCGGTAAAGAAATGATAGAAATAAATTACCTCATACAATTGACTTCATTCACATTTGCTTGAAGTAGGGCAGTCGACAACAAAGACTCCTGAATGTTTGGCTGAAGGGATTGCAATGCCCTCATAAACGAATGAAAGTGCTTTGCCAAGCCCTCACTACGGTGCAAGAAGAAAATGATTTCTTCAATAAGCGGTTCTGTTAAACCAGAAGTTGGATTCTCGCAAATCTCTGAGATCTTCGCTTTACAGAAAGACTGGCCTGCATGTCGTCAATTACAGATTTCAGCATTTTAATCATAATTGCAGCGGTGAACTCTAAATCCAACGCGCGGAGTAAACCAAACACCCTCAACCGCTAGTTTCATCTCATCTACATGCGACCTCCACAACACCAGCCAATTTTAATCGAATTCCCCCCATAAAAAAATAAATAAAGAAAAAAAAAGAAAAAAAAAAGAAAAAAAAGAAAAGAAAGAAAAAAAAACAAACGAAGTCATGAATCAGAAAATCCAAGAAGATTTTACTGATACTTACTATATTTCTGTTAGAGAATAGTTCTTCGAAATCACCAAATCCTGTAGTTTACAAATGGATCTAGGACGAAAAACATATTACATGATAGATATAGTAGCATACAGCCTCAAGAAATCCACAAATAAATTACAAACAAACATGTGCTCGAAACGAAATACAACACACATTATATTCATCGCAAGAACTAACGACAGTCAGAATGAACTCCAGAGGCAGTTCACTAACCCTCTTGTTGAAGAATAATATCTTCAGCATCTGTTAATGCAAGGCCAAGTCCAATCTGCTCGGGAATGGGGAATTTCAGTGCACAGCATAGGTTTTCAAGAAATCCTTCGGTCAAGCATGAGTGCCCCATCGCCTCACAAAGTGTTGATCCCGAATTCGGCTGGTGAATGAGCATCTTTAGTATACTAGCCAGCAGGTCTAATTTTAGAGAAAGATTGTGAACTTCTCCTCCATGAAGGTTAACGTGCTCCAAGCAATTCCTCAGTATCAAGCTTCCATCTATCCCATATTCGATGAACTGACGAGCACAGGTCCACTTTGTGAATAGTCTCATTCGAATGTCAACAAACATGGTAAGTTCAATTTCATGTATCAAAATTGAAGAACATCAGCCAAAATATGCAAGTTACTTCGACCCCAAGTTGGACGACGAAAGAGTCTGAAAAGAGAGGGCAAAAGGCATAGTAACAGCTTCGGATGGACAGCCCTGCTGATTAACATTGACAACACGATCACGCACACAATCACGTCTAAAAGTATTTGACATCTCTCTCACTATGGCTCTCTCTCTCTCTCTCTCTCTCAGTAACTCTCGCTACCTCTCTCTCTCTCTCTCTCTCTCTCTCTCTCTCGCTCTCTCGAATGTGTGGGATAATGAAGATGTACCTGGTGGAATTCCAACTCAATAGACTTGTAATTGTTCTTGTTAAGGCTGGCAATCGAGAAACCGATCTGACTAGGAAGTAGAGTAGCAAACGACAACATCGTAAGGAGTAGTTGCTTAGTTCTATTAATCTCGAGGTACTCTGATCAATTCTGCGCCAATCTACAAGGACTCTACACTGCCCATACGGGCTCTCATCAATTCACTGCTGCTGAGAGATAGAAACCCACACGCAGAACCAGCGGCTGGCACATTTACTTCAGAAGAAAGCAGCTAGTCGAGAACACCTGTTGAAGAATCAAAATCCGGTTAGCTGCTACAGAAAGATACTGACAGCGTAATATAAATGCTCTCAATAATCTCAGTAGATCAAACGTGAACTCTGATCATTCGACCTTACAGTGTCTGCGAGAAAGTGCAGAGACATTGCTGATGACATTTACACAAGAAAGCTGAAGCCAGTTAGAATATAATCAGCACTAAATGATCTGCACACACAATATGAACATACCATGGCAAAGCAAACCACCTACATTCTCACCTTCTCTTCACGTTGAAGCAAGAAACGACGGAATTCTCGAATTCACAGTCGCTACCAATATTTCTACCCTAAAATTCCCCGATACAATGACTTCACCAATCTCAAAGCCTACAACAGATATCGATCGCACATTAAACTACAGCGAAGTCTTCACAAACCTCCTGAAACCCTAACCCTTTCACTTCCTAAAACCTTGTTCAATCTTCCCAAACACTAAAAAGAGAGCTTCGGAAAGAACTTCTCAGAAACTCAATAATCAAATCCGAACAACAGCGCTCCGATTATTTGAACACTGCAAAACCTTCGTGAAAACATATAATTCAAGGACACCAAAACCACTGCAACTCACTACCGCCCTGCAATGCTGATCATTTAACGAGCTTCCAGCAAGTCTTCACGACCAGCCCGGTCATTAAGAAAAAACATGAGCCAGAATTGGATGATACGGCAATACAACAAGCGATCGGGATGCAGCGGAGTTTACGAAACGCAGTAGAAGAGCAATGGACGCGACGTGCAAGAGAGAGCGTAGGGAGAGCTGTAACAACAGAAGGCACTGGAGCTGAGGGCGACAATAGGCAAAGACCTAATATGAAGGAAGGGGAATTGTGAGGCGTTGTACAGGAACGAGAATATTTGGAGACAATATGCGGCACGGCATGCATCATGATTATCGCCTTCTTTCTTGCATGGAAACCTCGTCGTCGTCGCGTTCAGTTTTGAATTTGAGATGGAGCCTGATTCTTCAACGTCGCGTTCAGTTGTCTTGTTTTGTTTGTAGTCTTGCTGCTGTTTTGGCACACATCTATCTATACATCTCTCTATATAGATGACGATGCGTCATGGCCACCGTGAGTGTGACAGACACGCTCCATGTCGGATGAGAAATTGGCCCCTACGGTAGAATAATCCTCCGTAGAATAGTGTTTTGTTTGTTACATGGCTGCGCTACTCTACTCGGTGCTATGCAAGGCATTGTGTGTGCCAAGTTGGTATTGCCTTTCCCAGTTTTGTTTGTCAGTGTTTTTGTTTCTATATATAAATTAATGGGAATGTTGTATTGACCCAGATTTTTACTAAATCAACCTATCCATGATCAACCTAGTAAAAAAATATGGTAATTATGATGAATGTGATTGGTTTTGGATCATGTAGTGGAGAAATGAATTTTGATGTCATTTTTTATTTTCATGATGGTTAGGATGGGTGTGTCAATTTATTAAAAGCTTTTGTCTACTTAACATTCCTCTAGATTAAATGTACATATTTTTATTCTTTTATTATGTAGTGAAGTTACTAGTTGCTGAATTGAAATGAATAAATGGTTTTGTGTTTATTTTATATCATCATTTTACTCTTTTAGCTAATTTTATAGAATAGAAGAGATGTTAAGAAGGCTAGTCTTCTATCCATTTAGTAAAATGTCATTTCTAAATTATATGTCCTCAAAAAATTTGCACACTTTGGTGCATTTGGTAATTTCTGTTTGTCAAATTTTATATATATATATATATATATTATACATCGCAATTACTTTTAATCATCCTAAAATAGTATTTATAATAAAATTTGATAAAAAGTTACTTATTCTTCAAAAATCTTGTCATTGTGTATGGTCTAAAAGTCCCACATAACTACTCTACAAAACAAAAGTCACAAATTATTGATAAGAATGTATCTATAAATCATGCATGTCATGTTTTTAGGTGAGGTTAAGGCAATTGCACAAGGATAAATTATCTTAATGCAAAATGATTCATTATACTATGTTGGTGCACCATGTCTATACTTAATAAAAAAATAAAAATAAAGAATCCCAAAACTAATGGATAATAGTCTTTTTTATATTTATATTTCAAAAAAAGAGCTACTTAAATTATTCTTTGAGAGTAGACACATTATTTAATATCTTGTTTATTTACATATTGACTAATGATTCTATAATTCTTATAAGTATTACATTGCATTAAAGATAAAAAATAATCTTTTAATAACATTGATCTTTATTTTAAACCAATAAGTTAAATTTATATTTATTTTACCACCTGAAGATTTTATAAGATTTTTGCTTTTTACTAAAAAAACTAAAGTCTCTTTCTATCAATTGTTGATTCTTTGCTCTAGTTCAATTAATTCCTTGATCATAAAATAATTCAAACATAATGTCTTATTTGTGATTATAATAACCATTAAATTTTGACTAACTTTTACATTGAAAAAAATCTAAAATAAATATAATATTATGAATTAATTTCTTTTATCCATTAATGAAAGCAATATATTTTTGGCATATTTTGAAGTTGCTTTTTAGCTTTGTTTTTGTTGGTATATGATCCTTTTATGACTCTAATTTATTTATTTATTTTAATAACTATAGTTCTATTATAACATTGCAATAAATAAGAATTGTTGAGGGTCAAACAAGGAGTCTTCCTTGACCTCTTTTGGTATTAAAAAATAATTTAGAAGGTACTTCATTTACCTTCATACAAGCTTTAGTGTCTAGTAAGAAGAGGTGCACCATTTACATGAACGTTTTGAAATGTCTATAACACGTATATTTTACTGCACGAAAATGTATGCTCCACCATGTTACAAACTTTGTTTAATTTGAGTTTTGCAAAAAAAAGAAAAAAAGAAAGAAGAGAGAGGTTGTTTTGACTAACAGGTATACATGAGAGTTTCAAAGAGGATTAAGAATTACTGCAGTTCTTTTTGGTACTGAAAACTTGGAGCTTCATCACACTGTTGCTGGTTACACTGTATTCTTAGATATTGTTTGGGAGGTATTTTGTCATTAACATGTTACAATATTTATTCATATTTTTTCTTTGACATGTTTTCTACATGTTAGCCTAGTTTCTGTCTCAAAGTTTGACATTCTTTTGTATGAAAGATGCGTATGAAGTTGCTCTGGAGATGCCACCGTAATAACGATGATTTGAGAATTTACAATGCTTGCACATGCAACTATTGGTTGTTGCAGATGCTTTCTTTTGGGACAGTCGCTCTGGGGGAGTTCAAAGAGCGTTTGGCAGAGTGGCCGCAATACTGCAACCATGTTCTTCAAATTCCACAGTTTCGTCAGTCTCAACCTGAACTTGTGAAGTTCATTCAGCGAGCCTTAATGCGAGGGGAAGCAAACCAGCATGAGATTGCTGGCAATGGCATGTTTCATACGGACCAGCAATTTAGTGGTGCAGCCCAATGTGATACAAAATCCTCTCTGATACTGCTGGAGGGTTTGGAACAATTTCCAGCTCCTCTTATTTCCATGGAGGAGAGAAAATGTGTGAATCCTCTACTTCGAACAACAGATGACGAGGTGAGTTGTAGGTCTAAAATGAAGTTCTGTTTTCGTCGCGTTATGTGACATGTAAGGGAATGTGCAAACAGGAAGGATAGATTGTGAGTGCTTGTGTGCTATATGTGTTCATGAAATCCTGATAAGTTCTGTTGTTCTTAGTGACCTGTTCACTTATTGAACGTGGTTGTGTCGGAAGGTTCTGGATCGGGGATTAAATGTTGCTCTGGACGGATCCTTAGTCCTATCTATTCCTTCTCCGGCGGTACAAACCGGTCAGGTCAAACTGCAGAATACAGAATCAGGATCACTTGTGTCGCAGCACTTCAGACTGTCATCGAGCTTGCTCGACGAAAGGGTGAAGATTGCATATTCGTCGAGCTCTGAGTCTGGGATCAGCATGCAGCAAACACTGGGGAATCGAACCTTTGATCTTGGTACTGGACAGAAGGTAGTTCACAATTGTGTTGATGCTTCGGGGTCTCCGTGTGAGGTTTATGGGCAATTTCGTCATGCTTTGTTTCATAATAAGTCCTGTTTTATATAATAAATTTAGTTAAAAATTTTGTTGTAAAAACATGTTCTATAGAAGTAGATTATGTATGTATGTATATATATATATATATATATATATATAAAGGATTAACTTTTTTAACAATTTAATATGACACATAATACATTATTGAGTTACTTCTAGTAAGCCCACGAGTATTTTTCTACTGTAGTTACTATTATGTCAGCGGCTTCCTTCATCTTCTTCTTATCTTGCAGTTTCATCATCGAACTTGTTAAAGTCCAAATCACAGAGACTACTGAAGTTGAAACCAACTGGGTCTACAAACTTGCATTGCAGGATTGTCTTGGCCACGAGCTTGGAAAGAGCCTCAGTGTAGTGAATTCCATCCCAGATCACGAATTGGGTGCGATCAGAATACGTTGAAGCGGCTGCTGTTCCACATTGTCCTAGCGTCGCGTTGAAGTTGTAAGGTGGTCCTCCTGCTCCACAGCATGCTGCAATTCCCTAGCTAAACCCTTCATACAACAACCCCCAAATCCTCAGGTTCATCTCAAAATCCATACACCTGCTCTGGATCTTGTCTAGGCTGCTGGGTAAGAAAACCAGAAGTAGCAGAAATGGTGAAAGACAACTAACCATAGAGTGAAGGATTAATGACAGCGTCATATATAATGGAGTAAGTGTCCGCGTAGACGATAGTTGTTTCTGAAAGCTGGCTCCGTAAAGACTCAAGCTCTACCAGCAGCAATTCGTTTAATTCCTTGACGAACCCATTGATTCCTTGAGCACAGCCATCTTGTCCAATAGGCCCATATGCAGGATTCAGATCCGGCAGGCCTAGCCCTAATGCGAATGCTGTGCAACCGAAAGGGCTGATGCCTAAGACAAGAAACTGCCTCGTTGTAGAATTGTTGTAGAGCCTCTGGAGACAGGGGAAGAAGAAGGCGAAGTTATCGTGAAAGGTCTTCCCAGTACGGCTTAGGTTTTTGTCAGTTTTAAATTCACCGGCAACTAAAACACATATCAGAAAGAATGGGGAATCAATTTACCCACAGTGATTGCAAGAGAGACATTGGAAACAATTTCTGGAAGAATGACGTCCCTGATTCTCTCCACACCAGAATTCGTCATAGTGGCAAAGCATATGTCGTTCACTCCAGCAAATATGAAGTACAGCCCGAGGTTCCCGAAGGATGAAGGGGCTGGGACTGGCAGAAATCGATAAAAGATCACAGCCTAGAGTTAGTTGATAAACGCAATTCACAAACAGAGGCTGATAAGACGAGTCGACTGTGAAAGAGGGTGTACGCACCTAAGGCTCCAGAAGGTACGTCAAGAGATTTGTGGTAGAAGCGGATGGCTTGGTTCACTTGGAGTCCTAAATAGATGGGTACGACGTCTATTGATTCCACACGCCTCACGTTTGCCCCTCCCGTGGCGAAGTTGATCCCCTGACGAAAATCAGGTGCAATATTGTCGAAGTAGGGATCCAGAAGACGAAGTCCGAATGCTTGAGCTGCAACGCAAAATTAACGCACCCTGGTAACCAGCCTGAACTAAGAATTCACAAGGAGAGCTTGTGCAGATTATTCATGCAATGATGGATTTTTGAACTTACAGAGAAAGTCGATGATGAGTCTTCCATCGCTGTAGCGATCAGCTGGGTGACCGAAGTAGGTGATACCGTAAGGAAGAAACTGAGAAGCCGTAACGAAGTCGAGCTCTCTCTCACCGGTGAATGATTGGGCTTCGCCCGTATCAGTGCTAGAGCCCCCGAAGGCCAAAATTGCTTCTGGGCACTGGAAACGTACCACTTCATGGCTAGCGGTTGATACTGCGGCAGCCATCAACAGCAGCAACAATCCATCTGTAAATGCTCCCACCCTCTTCAAATGCATACTTTAGAATCTGCCTGTGAGAGTAGCTATTTTTCAAGGTACTGATCACGTCTACTGCGTCCGGTTTCAATATGAAATTAGATTGCCCAAATTTGCCGACATTGTTTCCAGAGCGTGCATAATTTCCCAATCTAAATCAATTTTTGTGTTCTTCACATCGCAATGTCCATTACCATTTACTATATCCCAAAGAACCAAATTTAATCCATATTTTTTATTGAATAATTTGGAATAGTGTAAAAAAAATTTCTAAAAAATATTAGAAATTTAATGATTGTTTTTTTGCATTTGTTGACATGTCTTCTTGATTTCTATCTAAAAAATTGTGTTTTTGAAATGGGCTCAACAAAAATCTGAAGAGACAACACTATTTGTGTCATGTAGTAAAAAGATGTATTCTATTTTATTTGGTATTTTTTTTTCTTATAAGGATTTGGGTTTATTTTTCTAAGTATAAAGCAAACTTAAAGAGACTTCTTGATTTCAACCAACCAAAACATCTAAAAGTTAAGGCCTCTTTCCTTGTCCCTTAAATAAAAAAAGATCTCTAATATTATTATTTTTTCTATATAAAATATAAATATTTTTATAGATAAATAAAAAGTGTTTTGTAAAAACATAATGTAAAATTCAAATGCCTTTAATTGACTTCATACATTATTTGCATCTACGTCAGCATCCATCATTATCGTGTTATTGCGTTAATTAAAGTCAATTAAATACAACAGTAATTATAATTGCATATTAGATCACAATTTGAACAAAAAAGTAAGCACAAAATTTGCAAAAATTATAACTATTTAGAATGTATAGTAACGTGCGTTGAATTTAGAAGGAGTACACATCAGTAATCATTTTTCATTCCCAAACGCACCATCCTGAATGCACAAAAAATTAGCATAGTCAAAACCATACAACCTTACTATCACACATGTTCAGACCATGAGTATACAAGCATACATTAGAACCGCTTTAGAATTATAATTAAATTACTATGGCACCAATAAACACATTTACTGTGGTAATACACAATCGGCACTTTCAATGCGAAATAGTACCAAACATGGCTTTACAGAGAATCAGCCCAATGAATGAAAAAGTACCGGTGACGACACAATTCATTTTCAGACACAAGGCTACCGACAGCCCTCGCGGCGTCGACGGCGCTTTGCGTACAGGACAAACGTGAGATTTTGGTCTCCGCCGACGGCTGCGATTCGGACATGGGAAAGATTTGCAGGAGAATCGATGTGGGCAGGGAATCGCATCTCTGACAGCGCTTACTGGGTCAACATCAGTGATTGAGTTGATGGCTCCGGCGTACTGTGCCCTAAACTGCTCATGAGCGACGTAAAGGAGATCAGAGATGGCAGAGCGCAAACTTTGAAGGAATTGGCGTTCTGGGGCTGAAGACATGGTCGATCGTTTCTTCTGTCCCTGCTCCTGTGCGTTTCGTTCCTCAGATGCTAACTCCCGAATGTCGAGCGTTTGCTGATTTTGCAGATTGGGTTCGTCTTACAGGACGTTTAGCTGCTTTTTCGGGATTGTTGTATTGTTTGAACTCTCTTTTGCACGATGCTTTACATATGCTGAGCTGTGCTTGTTCTTTAGAGATGGAAGATATGTCTGCAATGTAGGAAAAAGGCCTGATTTGTTACTACTAAACGCAATTTATTTTGGAACTGGCTAAGGCCGTAAAAGACGGAACAGTCGAAAGGCTTGTCATGTGTCTCGGTAGACAAGGATCTAGATACGATGCGAGAACTATAGAGTTTTGATCAGGAGGGGGCGGCTCAGTATATCACACGCGCTCTGGTTTCATCTGAGTCAAGTTACCACGCTCAACCCTAACGCTTGCGACCTTTCAATTCTAAGAATAACATGCATAATGGTTAGTTGTGCTTTCAGGTTATGACTGTCAAAGATTTGATGAGCAAGAGTAACCAAAATCGAGCTCTGACATACGACATTGACGGTAGTCACAAGCTCTCACCCGTCGCAGCCCAGCATCCGTAAGGCATTTCTCCTGCGCCACATTGAATTTCTTAATTAACTTAATACACTCGTTGGAGATTGGTGTGGCAGTACGCACTTTTAACGCAACAGTACTCAACTGTTCCGCTCTTTCATTTATTTATCCATATCGTTAATCTCCTTTGATCTTTGTAAGGATATGAAAACTTCTCGTCAAGGATAGCTGGGAACGATTGCAGTGTTTGTCACTGAAGATGCAAATCCTGAAATAAATTCTCGAGTGGATAGTAAGTGGAAAACAGCTCCACATGAGCTTTTTGTAAACTGGGCGTGCAGTCCTTTTCAGGATCACAATTCCTAATACAGTACTGGTTTGAATTGAGACTGTAGAGGAGGCGGAATTCAATCCCGTCGAGTAAGTGAGAGATGCTTCCTAAGGGGACAATTTGTTGCTTTTTCAGGTGGAGGAAGCTAAGAGTGAATTGTCGTCAACCCTTCGGCACAATTGAGCATCGAGCTTGCATAGGTCTAGCATATGTTAAATTTACAACGTGCAAACCTTGAGCCTGTCAAGTGCCTGCGAGTGAGAACGGCATAAATAGCAGAGCTAAATGCTTTAGCACGGCAACGAAAAGAAAACTTTCTTCGGGGATTCTGTCAAGCGACACTGTTATTCATGGAGGAAAATCTCCAGAAAAGTCGAAACAAAGTTTCTGGAAAAATACAACACAACCTGAATATTTGAAACTGAATGTAAAGGCCGAACCGCATGACTCTGCTGTTCCTTTTGATAGTCCTCAATTTCCTAGAGTAGTTAGCGGTATGTCTAAGTTGAAATGCAGAAATCAGAGTCCAGATCGAAAGGAAATAGTGGGGAACAAGAAGCCTAAGATTGAGAAGGTAGTAAAAGAGGAGATAGTTGCTGGTTCTGAGGCAGCTGAAGAGCGTAAGATGGAGAAGGTCTCCAAAAAGAAGTTAGTGATTGGTTATGGGGCTGTAAAGACTGCATCACACAATCAAGATCTTCGACTTGATTGTTCCCCATTTCCTAGAAAAGAAGGCAGTATGTCCAAGACAAAAAGCAAGAATCGAAGTCCAGATCGTCAAGATATTGTGGGGAATTTGAAACCTAAGATTGAGAAGGTTACAAGTGTCGTGGCAGTAGTTGGTTCAGAGGCAAGTAAAAATTTGGATATTGCCCAATCTTCCAATTACATGCGGGATAGGATTCCAGGAACTTCAGCAGCAGCTCTAAAGAAAAGAAAAACTGAAGGGTTTGAGAATGTTGGTATTGAGATCCATGCGGCTTCAGAAGTAAGAAAATCGGATGACGTCCATACCAATAGACGTGATGTTGTAGCTCAAGCACCTTCACGTACTAAACCACAATCGGCGAATGAGTCAGGGAAGGCTGTTAGAGCCTTAATTAAGTGTTACAGGAAGGCTTTTTCTTCGCAATATCAGGGATACAAAATCCTGCAAGAGCAATGTTTCGGACTCAAGGTCTGGAAATGGGAGCGCAATATTGTCGAGACTGGACAAGTGATTGCACTCTTCTTGTTTGTGCTTTCAAGGACACCCCAAAATTTAAACAAGCCAAAGCGGTTGGGGGCACCATTGTGTCCGAGGTGTGATGAATTTTTTCATTTCGTGTCTCGGTTGACTTCGTGATCCATCATGAGTGATAACTAGTCCAGAATGTCTCTTTTAGTCTAGAGGTTTAGCTTCATACTCTCAATATGGATCACGCTGCTTTTTATAAGTATTCCTCGTCGATCACATGTTACTATGTTACGCAGAACAGGACAAATATTTGTTCGTCCTTCCTTTATTTCGTTCTTAGTACATGCTTTGTCTTATTTCAGCCCTCAAACTCTCGTTTGATGTCTTTGCAGGAATGGGTTTCGGAGTGCCACAAGCAAAGAAAACTTATTGAGATCGAAAGGTATGGTTCATTCTCATGAGTACATCAGGTCCACCAAAAACTCAGCTCTTGGGCATTTGTACGTGCAAGTGAAGTTCTATCAACTCCTCACCTTCAGATGGTTGATAAAGTCTATTTGTTCTCTTACAGCTTTCTAATGTACAAGGGAAGGCCTTGGAGGTCATCAGGTAAGATTACGTGGATACTGGTCGTACAATACTAGTTGTAAATTGTTCGTCCCTCTGTGTTTGATTTTCTTATATTGAAAAAAGAAATTCCCTTGATTTTTATTTGCGTTTTAATTGAACGATTTTCTTCGTTTGAAGTTGGAACGTGCTTTATTGCAGTGTACAAATCAAACTGTGGATCGTTGGAAGAAGTTACACAGTGGGTGTATGACGATTTGGAATCTACACGCAGTTGGTTACAGCAGCGAGATCCAAAGGTTAGCTTGTTCCTCCTCAATGTGTTATGACTGATTATTAGATGCAATTGCTCTGTTTCAACAACAAAACTTGTCTGAATGAGCTCCATTTACTGTTGGTTACTACGATTTAGTGGTGGAATTGTATACTGCAGCCTGAACTGGAGGATTTGGAGTTTATAGCTGCCCAAGGTATCATGGTTCGCTTTGAGGATATCATCAAGGGTCTTCAAGATAATCAAGTGAGTGAATTAGTCACTTCATAGCTGTGTCAGATGTGTGTAGCTGATATGTCGGAGGTTTTAGTATCATCACCCTTGATTTGTGTGGTGGTTTTAAGTTATGCAGCAAAGTGACGTCTTCTGGTAAGTATGGCGCGAGGATGCAATAGTGAGAAGCTCATCATTGTTTTTGTTTCTTAGTTTCTGACGGTAGAGAAGGGTAGAAAGTTTTTCATTTTCAAGATATGCAGAGATATGATGGCCCTATTGTTTTGAATGCAGGGTGTTGCTAGCATCGTTGGAAGTTGGGAATGCGTTCCTCAAGCAGTCAAGGAGCTTAGAGCAATGGAAGGGGGCAGAGAAGGATACTTGAAGTGTACCCGAAGCAGTATGCTAAGAGAAGCTGATAGATTAAAATGTGTATATACAGACGTTCTGAGTCCTATTTTTGTCGCTGATTCTAAGAAGCCCCTTAGTGACATTCAAAAGAAGAAACAGTGAGCCCACTAACTCGTTCGTTTTGGCACTTACCATGGACTCGTCTGTTGGAATATCTTTGGAAAAATGCTCGAAATACAAATATCCAAAGGCTACACAGTGTTGCCTTCTAGGAAATGCGGAGCAATTGCTCGACTTTGTTGGTTTTGAGATATATTGCAGGTTTTGTATGTATTCGCCTTTTGTTCTGCACCCCCAGTAACTCAAACATAGTTCCTCAAACACGAATATCGACATGTACATTCTTGGTTTGATTTCAATCCTATCGTCACACTAGCACATGCCCTCCCGTCCACACCACCAATGCGCGCTACTCGATCAATGATCCAGCACAACAAATTTTCAGAAGCATTTTTCCACTGGTTGTTCTTCTTGACTATACCGTTGCATGGATTCTGCGAAGCAGTTTTTAAATGCAGCAGGTAATCACATTTCAATGCATCGCTTTTGAATCCAATGTTATCTCGCTTTTCCTAAAATCTCCAATCAAATTTCTTAACCAATAGTGGTTTACCAATTGCCAGTGTTCCAGAATCACAAAAATCTAAGGACAATGACATGTGTTGATCCTCAGCGTGCTGCTGGAAGCATAGCGAGTTCAAGCTTTTCTCTTCAAATGAGGGATCGTCTTGGCGGGCTCTGGTTAGTTCCCTTCCCCGCGAAAGTAGATTTACACAATCACAATGTTGACACTTATCAGTTCATGCATTCCTTTCTATAGCGGTGCCGGAACAAAGGGGGACTTGCTGGCGGAAGAAAGTGCACTGTATGAGTTTTAGGAGTGGTTGAATTTTTGTTGAAATGGGATTTGACGGAGCAGGAACTTCGACGGAATCTGATTCTAACGAGCACGAGGGAGGAGAATGGACGCGACTGAGAAAACTCGCTGGCTTTGGAGAAAATTTAGACCCAGTACAGCAAGAAGAGCAAGCTGTGGAGAGGGTAGAGGATGGAGGAGGAGGCAGCGGAGCGGTGGAAGAGGATGACAAGGAAGAAGTTCTTGAAGGAATTGCTTCCATAGCCCTATTTCCCTCCGGCTCCCTTTCCGGCCATTTTTTGCACACCGCTTCTTCTACTTGCTTGGGTTTGTTTGGTACTGGTGGGTCTCTAACTTCCTATCCATCACAGTTGATTGCTGCAAGCTGCGGTTGTTCCTTCTTCCTTCTTCGTTTTTTTTTTTTTTTTTTTTTTTTTTTTTGTTTTTTTGTTTAATTGAAACCACAATGCATAGGACTGTGGTATGGAGTTTCTTTGAATTTTTGTAGTCCTGAAGCATAAAATGTGGTCATGTCGCTAGTTTTGCGTCCAGGTCGTCCTTTGGCACGTTTTGTAAATACTTAAGGGATTTTGGTGTCGCAGAGATCGCATGTGAAAGGGAATGCAGTCGAGGGGAGGATTACCGCTTGCTCAACCTTACAATTATCAATTTCAAAGTAATCCGTCTTTAGGACCCGAGGGCTTCAGCTCTCCCCACAATTTCCTTAGGGTTTAGGGTTTCGGGTTTAAGGATGTTTTCCAAGTTTTGAATAGCTAATGTTCAATGTAGCGCGCAAGGCAATATCGAGTGGTCTGTGATTTCAAGCGGAGGCGTTGCATGCGACGCGAATCTAGATAACAGGTCATCTTATACGTTTGGGAATGGGTTTCTTGCGTTGCAAGGTTAACAATCGGGTTCCTAATTAGTTGGGAGTCCAAGTTGGGCTTGTGTAGTTAGCATGATTTCCAGGGATTTCGATTACAAGATAGTTTATAAGATTTTGCTACACTTGAAATATCAACAAACTTGATTATGTGCTTCGTAAGCCTGGGCTGTGATCTGCAGAGCATCCAGTACAGTACATCCGTGATCTCAGTAGAGCTGTTTGTGAATGTGTGGAATGCAGACAAAGAAGGAAACAACCGTGGTGGTTGAACGGAAAGGAGAAGACGCGGCCCGCCTTTCTACTACATGCGACCTTCATGGGTATATCTAATTTCCTCAGCCGTTCATACCATACATGAAGTTCTACATGCTTGCAAATGTGCACGTTCATACTTGTGTAAATCGAGATTTTTTTTCGTTTCAGTTAGAAATGCTTCTGCTCGGAATCATAAATAATGCCCAATCGCTCAATGTTGTTTTGAATGGAAAGTTCAGTTTGACCAGCAGCGCGGTTGTAACCTCTTACTGCATACAGTTGCATCTATCATCCTTTACCACCGTATTAAATGAACGCGGTGTATCTTGCTGTTGATGTGTTTGTAATCTAGTTTGATGAATCTCTAAAATTATTCAGATGGGACGAGGAGGTTGTTCAAGAAGCGAATAATCGACACAGGTCTGGTGGGACAGCACCTGTGATCACCTTCGAATGTGAGACGTTGAAAGCAGGCAGAGAAGCAGAGGAACACTTGAAAAAATTTCTACCGTCATTGGTTGGACGTGATGCAGCTGGTGAAGCGTACATTTCCTTATGTGTATGATTTTTATTTTATTTTATTTTATTTTTGGTGCGCGTGTGTGTGGAAAAGCTATTTGTCTCCAGAGAAGAATCATATGGATAGAACATGCAGGTTTGTTGTGGTAAGTTTTTGAATCGGTTGGAAACTCTGGAACATGCCTGCAACCCAAGTGGTTTGCCCTAAAACCTTTTTGCTTTGTGACCATATTCTGTTACAGTGAACATAGGTCGCATGACAATAAAGAGCCTGAGCTTGTCAGTAAAGGACACGGCGAACGGCAACCTAGTGCAGCCGCAATCTCTTCGTGTACCTCCTAAACGAACTCTAGAGGACGCCTTGCGGCTTGTATTTGGCGAAGCAGATGTCGAGATTGCAGACTCTGCACAGAAACGGCAAGTGGTTTCTGCTGAGTCACCCTCGTCTGCTGAAGGATTAGAGATACCGAGTCTGATCAAAGCCATACCAATTCATCGTGCTCCTTGCGACTTTGATGATGACTTCTGAGGTTTTCACATCATGTAATGGAGAGGCATACCTATGGAGAAACACACCTTTCTGAAATGAGGTAATTGCTTTGTTTTTATTTGTTTATTTTGGTATACATCTAGTAGTAGTATTGCAAAGAAATAAAGACAAAGGTTAATTTTGTCCTTCTATGGCTAATAATAGTTGCACTATTTTCTTTTGTTGTCACCAACAAAATCGACTTGATTTCATGTATGTAAGCTGTACATTTGCATATACTAGAGCAAGACATGGACCAATTTATATTTTCAACGATTCTGTCTTCTTTCCAATTTATTAACGACCTTTGGATTTTCACATTTTTCACGACACTCCCTTGTCAACACCTCTCAAGACTTTTCTTGTTTTTCATACACTAATCACAAGAACTATTTGATGCTTTGATTGTTATGAAAGCTATATTACGTCTCATGACATAGATAAAATTTCCGTTAAAAAAACATTTCCAAATATAAAAAACTAATCCTATCACCTCATAATTGGTAATGCAGACTCAACGACGGTTTTTTGGATGACAATCACATTTGTAAAATTCCCAAGCAAATATTCCGGGCACATTTTCACATCCACAAAGATCCAAACCAAAGTTTTCCTCAGAAACGTTTCGCTTCCGCTGCAGACATCTCACCAGTTGATTGGAATTTACAATCATAGATCTCGCAACGAAGTAATTGCACTCTTGTAATATTGCTCTTCACGAGCAAGCGATGCCACCACGACGAATTGCAGGCAGCTGAACAGGAGCTTTAGGATGGTCAAAATCAAGCACACCTACACAGTCGCGAGTGCGAGTGGACGTGGTCGACGAATGCAGCTTGGAACGGGAGGAGCATATTCTGGATTGGCAATAAAGATCCGCGGCACACACGCACACACACCATTGGCATGTGTGATCCAGCCCCAGCTGCATTGCGTCGACTAATGGGGCGGTCGATGGGTTTTGAAGAATCAGCAGACATGGGTGACGACGGCGGTGATACTGAGGCGCGCTAGTCGCAATTGTCCTACTACTGGTTTCGCCAGGTGGGGCTCAACCATCGGGTAGGTCGAGGCGGCGGGAATATGCTTCAAGAGGGTTGAGAATATTCAGGCTTGTGCTCGATGGGAGGCGGTTACGGCAAGGAGCTCGGCAGCTTCGCTTCGCAGATGCTTCATCGCCATTCCCCTCTAGCAACAACGGTGGCTCGGGACTATTTCAGGCACCAGATCGCATTCTAAAACCATAGATGATATTGTATTGGATAATATAACTTGCTTATATGGATAATGATGTGGTTATGTTGGTGGATCGGTTTTCAAAAAGCACTTTCAGACAGGTCAACGAGGCTCAGTCTAGCGTGGAAATACCATATGCTACAAAATAAACCAAAAGGCTGCTGTCCACTTGACTGCTACATTTTCACACTCATACCCACTCACACATTCACAGCGAAGAGAGGGAGGGGAGCAAGGAATCCCTGCCCAGCAGAGCAGGGCTCACAGTCAAGGCTCACAGTCATAGTTAAGCCATGCGGAGCTTACAAATTGAATCATCCCAGATATTCTCCCTTTCTTCCTGGGCACGATTCCAGCTGATCGTATTTCCACGACATGCTTCACCAAGGCACGGCACCGCTTGCCTCATTAGTCGTCGCATGGTGGACTGGTTTCTGCCTTTGGGCTCCTCATGTGAAACCCATCAGAGATTCTTTATTTAGATCTAGCAGGAATGTTGGGACGAAAAAAGTTACTTCCCTCGAAGATTTGATGCTTTTAGCACTTGGGTGTTATACTCTTGTGTAGTGATGGGTGGGTGGGTGTGTCTTGCTCCTCTGCAGATAAACAGCTTCCATGCGAGTCACTGGATGGAAATTCATAATCCCCCTCACCACTACTGACCTCTTGGCTGTTAACTGTGTTTGCACATTGCATGGTCGGTTGCTATTCTCGTGAGAGAGAGTTTCTCGGACTGACCGCTAGCTGCCTATTTTCCATTCTGGCTTCTCAGAATGAATAAGTATGTGATATTCCACGTCGCAGGAGAGAGATACTCGTGACCACATCGGTCTTGAAAATTAGATTACAGCGTCTGAACTACACATTTCGTAGCTAGAATCGGGTACTTAGCTGGAGCTTCGATGCTCTGGCAGGGGCTCGATGCTTTTGCTACAATTCCCTCCGAGGCTTCAAGAAAGTGATGACCCTGGTGCTATTATTACGGAAAACCGAAGTGATGGCGACGAGAGGTTGACAATGTAACTATGGTTTGAAGATATTCAAGTGGGTCTTTTCTGACCAATGCGGCCTTTTCTGGGTATGAAGGTGGGCTTTCATCATGTTGATACGTGAACCAGCTTATCTTCCAACGTTCGTGACATGTCAGGGACTTCACGAAAAGTTCAAGAATGTTTTATCTATAACTGTACAGTCTATAGTGTCCGATTCGTCTCGTGGCCTGCTTCGAAGCGCTTAAACCTTTGTAGGAATACTGTGCACCTAGCAGCTTCCAAGTTAGGGTTAAAATGGCAGTGCAGAAATTGGCTACGGAGTTGGGCCACCGCTATTGAGTTCACTGTCTAACTTCGCCGTTTAGGTGCTTTAGTGACGAGGGCCTGTCTAGCAGTCATGAAGAGTGATACGGTGTCGGATAGCGCAAGCGCACCATTACTGAGCGACCTGGGAGGAAGCTGTACCGATGTTGAGGCAAACGCATCTGAAAAGCTATCCATAGACGACATGCTCAGCAAATACGTCGGAGACTTCGGTCGGGCGCAGCTCGTTCACTTTGTGATAGTCAGTCTCGCATGGTCTCTGGAAGGGTTGCACACCTTCGCGACGATCTTTGCCGACAGGGTACCGGAGTGGCAATGTCGACCATCTGTGAACTTGTGGTCTCCATCGAACTCAACCCTCGGAGCAAGTGCCGGGCCACTGAACATGGAATGTTCTCCTTCATCTTCTATCTGCTCCATGGATCCTAGTTTATGGGAATGGGTTGGAGGCAAAGGAGTTTCGATCGTCTCAGAGTGGGGTCTTTTCTGCGGAGACGAGTACAAAGTTGGGTTGGCACAGTCGGCATTCTTCGTTGGAGCTTTTGTGGGTAATCTCACATGATTATTTTTTGGCGCAAGCACTAGATGTTTGTAGAATTTCGAGATTCTAGTAGATGACGCAAGTCTCCCTGGCTGATGCTTTGGATCTTGCCTACGCAGGTGCGGGAATATTTGGCCATTTTTCGGACTCGTTTGCTGGTAGGAAAGGCACGCTGTTCCTCGCTTGTGTTTGTACGGCATTATCAGGTTTGGCAACTGCATCTGTCCACTCCTACTGGGTCTATGTGGGAATTCGCTGGCTAACAGGCGCCACCTGCAGCGGCATAGGACTCTCAAGCTTCGTGCTGGCAACTGAACCAATTGGTCCTTCAAAACGAGGCCAGGTCGGTATGTCAGCCTTCTATTTCTTCTCTTTTGGCATTATGACCCTTCCTGTCTTTGCCTATTTCTCCACATCATGGCGCCACCTCTATTTCGTCACTTCCATTCCAGCCCTTCTCTATTGCACTTTGGTGGTGCCCACAATTTGGGAGTCACCACGCTGGTTTCTCGTCCAAGGCCGCATCAAAGATGCAATGGAGGTCCTTGGAGCATTTGCCAAGCGGAACGGGCGTAATCCCATACCCGAGGGAGCAGTTTTGGAGATAGAAAATGAGGAAGCTTCAAAATCAGTAGCATTAGAGTCCATTGATGTTAGCGAAGACTACTCTCCTAAAGCTTCTGGAACCCTGCTGATGGTGCTCAGAAACCCCGCCACTCGATCCCGAATGCTCATCATGGTGGTCATATGGTTTTTGACCGCAGTCGTTTACTACGGCATAACCCTCAATGTTGTCAACCTAGGGACAAACTTATACATCGGAGTGTTCTTAAACGCCATAATCGAGTGGCCTGCATTTGTCATCACCGCAGCTGTCCTGGACAGATTTGGGAGAAGGTCTATGCTAGTATCAGCCATGGTTCTTAGTGGACTATGCTGTCTTGCTGGTAGCGTTCTATACATTGAAGACGGAGCAAATACAGGCTCATCAGATGGACTGAGAGACTTGTTTCCCAACTTGACTCCAGTTGGGTCCCAGTCATACCGAGAAAGTGTTATCCTCTGGTATTCTTCTCTAGGAGCTGGCATCGGAGTTTACAAAGTGCTGAGAATCATCTGCAGTACTGTAGGAATCTTCGGAATGGCTGGAACATACAACCTGATCTACATTTATGCCTCGGAGCTGTTTCCGACTGTGGTGAGGAATGCGGCGCTGGGGCTCTTGACGCAAGCGTCTGGGATTGGGTCGATCATTGCGCCCGTTGTGGTCGTTTCCGGGCGTTTCAACTCAGCGCTGCCTTTTGCAACTTTTGGGATCATGGCCATACTCGGTGGGGTTTTGTCGCTAGGACTTCCGGAGACCCTGCACAAGCCCATGTTTGAGACTTTGGAAGGCCTGGAGAGGAGTGAGAAAGGCGTAATGACAAACTAGCTGTGCATTGTGCTACCCAGCACAGCTTTGCACATATCTCTAGCTAGAAATGGCTGCGTGGATCGTCGTCACAATTTTGTACGAATTAGGATCCTTTTGCCTTATAATCAAATTCATAGTGAAGAATTAGTGAAGAGTTTGCTGTACCTAGATGTAAAGTTCTTAGAGGAATTGAGCCACCGTTAAGCGTCATCACCTCATGACAAATTCATAGTTTCACATGACGTTATCTCATGTATTCAATTTGCTAAGACTCGTATGAATATGCCTGCATGCATGTGTAACTAATACAAATCACCGCAGCTACCCATGATTTGTAACATAATAGAACGAATTTTAGCCATTAGAAAAGTTCAATGCAGGATGAGTTTGAGGTTGCCCAAGGTGGGTGAGGAATTGTCGATATCATGTCATATCTTTAGGGATGGAAATAAATAGCAATCTACGTAAAATGAGCTGTGTTTATTTCAGTACAAGATTATTTTTAGAATCTCAAGCAATAGGTACATTTTTTTAAGGAAGAAATGTTCCTGGATTAGAATTTACAATCGTTATTGTTGGCAACATAATAAAAATTGATAAAAGCTATCAGTAGACTTGTATTAGAAATGCCACCAAGAGTAAGCCAATAATGTTTTATATCTTTAAAATAGTTGAATAGTTTTGTGGCAATGCATTGAGCATTTTGGAAGCCAAAACACTTATTTTGCTTCAACACATTTTGCTTGAAGTTACAATTAAATGATTTACATTTTGGATCAGATCTATGGAAATTGTTTCAGCTTGTATATTATAATGTTACTATTCTCAGCCAACATTGTTAGAATGATTTGGATACCATCTTCTGATAAAAAGTAAAATTGGTGTTTAAAATAATTTTATTTCAATTGGTAGATTTATAAAAAAAGAAAAAAGAAAAGAAAGATACATTATGAGATTCTAATGATGACTAATTTTTCACAAACCAAAGAGAATCTTTTTTATTGGAAAATTAAAATCAAGATAATAATTGTTATTAGGAAAAATATCTTATATATTCTTTAAATATGCTTAAATATCAAGAATATCCCTATATTCTTAATAATAGCAAATATACTTTTTACATTTGTCATAATAACAAATGTACCATCATTGGTGATAAGGTATTATCAACATTCCTTGTTCAGTTGTTATTTAGGGCCTAGACAGTAAGTCATGTAGATTTTGCCATGCCCTTTTCAATTGATTCCATCATTACCTTATAGCTCTTGCTTAGACTCCAATTCTTAGGCCTAGTATGATAATTTTTGGAATGAAGAAATTAACGCTACAATTATGAATGTATTGGTCATTGACCAATATATAGGTTGTGTTATCTTCTTAATGTTTTTCCATCTTATAAATCACATTTGTATCTTGAGACATAGAAGCTCACAACAAGTAGATGGTGGTAGTGTCACGGATATACATATTTTTTCCAATAATTATCTATATGATTAGGTAGAAATAAATAAATATAGATTTATTTCATAATATTTTCTAAAGAAGGTTTCTAAAAGCTTCATAGACGTGGTTTTGACTTTATACGTGTTTGTAGTTGATTGATAGGTTAGAAACTTGGTCAACAAGTTCATCACATGCCACACATGTTAGTAGCTTATAGAATAAGCTAACTATATGATGCTTTTATGAAAACTTCCTCTGTAAGTTAAGACATATGTCTAGCAAAGTCAACACCTATTGAAGGTCTTATATAATATTGCCATGTAACTCCTAGTTAGATAGTATATATGGAGGCAAGAGTGAAGCCTTCTTTACTCTTGTCAATGCTTTTTTAGTTCTTAGTCTTGTGTCAAGACTTTCTAGTCTTCTTGTCTTATGCAATAGCCATTCTATTTCAATATATTACCATCTTTGAATAATTTTGTAGTCTTTTTGAGTGATACAAAAGTATATAAAGGATTTCTTTCTTTGAGATTAATATCCTTGATAGTTTGACAAGAGTGGTAACTTATTATTCTTGTCTTCTTTTAGAAGTGAGTGGATTATCCTACTTCTATTAATGTGTTTTGAAGGTTGTGGACTATCCATCTTTAAACAAACAATTTAGTTTTTTAACACTAATTTTTCCTTAAAAAGTGTGGATTATCCTTCTTTGTGAAAATTTTCATTTGATATTAGAGGATATGGATTAATTTCATCTAATTTAACTTTTTGAATTTATTTGAGTTATCTATAGAAAGAAAGATCATCGATGCTACTCTTAAAGGAAATGAGTATAGATTTGCAACTATTGCAGATCTTCACAAGCTTATCAACACTTTAAGAGTATAAATCTCTTGTATTTCTTACATGAATCATAGACGCACTATTCCTACATCCATAGAAGAAATCAACAATAAAGTTCAAAGTTGGTGCAAAAAAGTTGTACAATTAAGAAAAGCAAGTAAATCAAGTTCACAATTGAATCTGAGGAGTCTTTTTACTACAAGTATAAGGAATGCAAGTATAAGTATGCTAGAGAAGTTTGATGGAACAAGGTCAAAATTTTGAGGGTTTTTATAATAAGTAAAGCTAGATCTAAGGTTGCATCCTTGTCAATACTATCATAGATTTACTCAAGTTGGATTTATTAAGGCACTTCTTTCTACAAGTGTTTTTTTTTGGTTTGTACCTTTGATGGAAAAAGATTCATGACTACTCTATGATTTGAATTCATTCTTGAAAGTATTTGTAGCTATATTTGAAAAAAAATGATTGAAAAAATGTAGTAGAGACCAATCTCATATCGCTATGACAAAGATTATGTTCAACCACCATATATGCTACTATATTCCAAAATCTTGCTTGCGACATGGATTGGAATGACAAAATCCTTATCAAATAATTTTGATATGGCTGAAAGTCAATGTCAAAAATATATTTATTAGAACAATTTATTGTTTAAGCTATTGCATGCAACAATTAATTTTTTATAAGTTATGAAGAATATAGATTTGATTGGAGAAGTATCAATTAAGCCATAGTGATACCTTCTAAGATTTTCGAAGCTTATTTGTCTAGGCCAGAGCTTATGCTAATTGACACGATATATTTTAAATCTCTTATTAAGTAAGAAAAGACTTGTCATTGCCAAGAACTCTTATATCTATATTGTGGAGAATCCAAGCGTACTACTGAATATTGTCTAAAGAAACAAGGCAATAACAAAATAATCAGCATGGTTGCCAAAAAAGAAGAGGTGTTGAAAAATAAGTTTTTTCAGCTACAATAGGGACCATTGTTGTATTACGTGTATTCTTGCTTGAGAATGTATTAGCCACCTAGCTGTGAAAGGTAAGTAACAATGCAACAACAATCCTACTAAGTCTAATAGAATTTTAAATAAACTTCAAGTAATCCTTAATAACTTAATTAAAATTTAACCTATCAAAATAAATTTAAAAGAAAATACAAAAGAAACACAAAGAATTCTTTAAAAATAATAAAAATAAAAATCTTAATATAATCCTAATTAAAACTTTAATTGAATCTTAATCAAATCCTTGGTCAAATCTTAATTAAAACCCTAATTAAACTTTAACTAAATTTTAGGTCAAATTCTAATAAAATCCTAAATCCTAAATAAATCTTTGATAAGTTTTAAACCAAATCTTAAACAAATCCTAATCCTAACCAAATTGTAGACCAAATTCTAAACCAAATTCTAATCAAATCTTAGATCTTAAACTAACTTTTAACAAATCCAAGAGCAAAATGAAACTTCAACAACTAATGATCAAATCATTAATATCAACTCAAAATTTGCACACTTTTTAATGTCTTAGTTAGAAATAAGTATAAGAAAGATGAAATTAAGTGCTCATACCAATTTAGAGAAATGCAAGATAATCCAACTAGGTGTTAGACGGCCTCTTATTCCAACCAAAATGCTAAACTTCCAATACCAATATCTCCTTCTTCAACTGTTAAATTATTCTCTTATTTTACCAAAATATTGGAAATCAAGTCTAGCATCTATACAAAAAATTTTACTTCAATCCAATTGACAAATTGTGAAGATCTTAGAAACACTCATTGATCTTCAAAATCCAATTTTTGAAACCTCAACCCGCAAAAATCTTTATACTTTAATCTAACTATTTGATTGACTTCAAAATTTGCATATACATTTATAACTATCACACCAATACAATGCCTAAATTTCATTTGTACATATACCATAGAAATCAAGAAATCTTAAAATTTTTAAATATATTTTTATTTCTCAAATCTTAATCTCATTAAGAACTTAATCTCACTTAATCTTAACCTCACAAACTTTGAAAATTCTTCAAAATTTCACTATTGATTCAAATGAAATAAAATTAATGTCTAAGTTTTTTTTTTTCTTAAGTTTGCTTTGAAATCCTACTCTTGAATCTCCAAAAAAAGCCCTGGAATCACTGTAGGTGTATAGTTTTGTACCTCAAGATCTAATTTTGATTCAAGTTGACAACTAATTCTATTCGGGTATGAATTCTTAGCTTCATGATATAAATTTTGCTAAAATTTATTCTTAACTCTCTCTTCTATATGCCTATATCATTTAATTTTTTAATTTATTTTATTTTATCTTATTTACGGTCTTACAAAGTAAATAGAAGTTTATTTTATAAAAAAATAATATTAATAATTTTTTCTTTTATTATGTTTTTGACTATTATCTATATTTTAAAGATAATTTGTAATAATGTTTTAAAATAAGATCTTCTATAATACAATATATATATATATTTTCATTCATTAGTTGTATTACATCATGACACTATGCAATTGAAATCTTATATAATACCTAATAAAAGTCCTATTTTCTTCATAGATCCTTCATCTTATTTTATAATAGAAGTTTGTTTAGGATTGAAAAATCATAAAGTCTTAGGCTTGTTAGATTTAGGACCTTCAACCTATTTTATAGACAAAGACTTTGTCAAAAAATAAGATATATTCCTAATTAAGAAAATAAAATTTGTACATGTAGAAGTAATGGATGGTCGTTTATTGTTTTTTAGAGATATTACACATAAAACTATTTCTTTAGATGTAGTGATTAGTGGTTATAATAGTTTAGTAATCTTTAATGTGATTATATTTCTTTTTAATTTAATTATTTTAAGATTATTATAGCGAAAAAAATATAATCCTCAAATAGACTCAATTCTTGTAATCTTGATTTTTTCCATAGTTTAACCCACGATCCTGCCAGGCAAGTACAAATGCATAAG